CGCAGCCGGAGCCGCAGCCCGAGCCGCCGGGAGCCGGAGCCGCCGGGAGCCGGAGCCGCCAGGAGCCGGAGCCGGAGCTGGAGCGCAGGCCCCTGCCGGAGCCTAGTCTAGCCGAGCTCGTCGCGGAGCATCGGCCTGAACGCGGGCCGGTGTGTCAGCTAGCCGCTGGGCCTGGGCGCACTGTCGGAGGAAGCGAGCCGCGACCACCGGGCACCACCGGGAGTCGGTGCCCGGATCGCCCCTGCCAGGCCTGGGCCCGGCCTGAACGAGCAGTAGGTCGCGGGGTCTGGACCGAAGAGAAAATGGAACGAGGATTCCATCTAATCGTGGAGTGGGCTTAAAAGCGGGAAGAAGAGTGGAGACTTCACGTGGGACCGGGCAGAGGTGGCTGCAGCTTACTAGGCCAGGCTTGAGCACCAGACAGCCTGGCATGCCAGCCGCTCGGCCAGGGTTCTGCCCTGCCTGAGCCAGGAGCACCGCATAGCTCCTGGACCTTGGCTGGCACAGGCCTAGCACAAGAAGCAGCGCTCTCACCTGTCTGAGGAACTGTGCTTGGGCCTGGCCCAGAGTGGGACTCTTCGGTGGCCCAGCGCTGGTCACTGGGGAGCCGTCCTCCTGCCCCGGACCCACTGGTACGGATGTGTCGCTGCCCGCTGGAGCACCATGACGGCAGGATGACCTCAGCGGAGGCGGTGGCTAGTGGTGCTCGGGGGGCTGGGTCCCCTGAGTGGCCGCCCGACACCCCCCAGGCCCTCGGGCGGCCTGGCCGGGCCCGGGTGGCCGTGGCGGCACTGGTGTGGCTGCTGGCAGGGGCCAGCATGTCAAGCCTCAACAAGTGGATCTTCACTGTGCACGGCTTCGGACGGCCCCTGCTGCTCTCCTCGCTACACATGCTGGCAGCGGCCTTGGCGTGCCGCTGGGGGGCACAGCGCCCCATGCCCCACCGCACTCGCCTCCAAGTGCTGCTGCTCAGCCTCACCTTCGGCACCTCGATGGCCTGTGGCAACGTGGGCCTGAGCGCTGTGCCCCTGGACCTGGCACAGCTGGCCACCACCACCACGCCACTGATCACGCTGGCCCTGTCCGCGCTGCTGCTCGGCCGGCGCCACCACCCGCTGCAATTTGCCGCCATGGGCCCACTCTGCCTGGGGGCCGCCTGCAGCCTGGCCGGGGAGCTCCGGACACTGCCCGCTGGCTGTGGCTTCCTGCTGGCTGCCACCTGCCTCCGCGGCCTCAAGTCCATCCAGCAGAGTGAGTGCCTGGGTCCCTGGCTGAGAAGGTGGGGATTGGGGTGGGGGTGTGGCCTGGATGGCCCTGTGAGGGGTATGGCTGTTATCCCATCTTCCAGATGAAGAAACTGAGGTTCGTGACTTTGGAGGAGGCAGTAACTGAGGCTCGGTAAAGGACCGACAGCTCAGAGAATTCCAGGCCCCAAACTTAGCTCTAGACCCCAGCCGATATTTAATAATAGTTGCCATTGATCCGTGTCTCATGTTTTGTCAAGCCTTTTATCTCATTGGATCTCCATACTGCCCTGATGAAGGAAGTCACTCAGTTGTCCCCGTTGACAGGTAGAGACTTGCCCTGCCTGGGTCATGTGGCTAGTGAGCAGCAGAGGCAAGATCTGAACCCAGGCAGTCGGACTCCGTGCTGTCCAAGTGATGTGGCGTAAGGCTGTGGACCCTGAAGGAGAACTGATAGTGGGGACTCAGGAGAGAGAAAGAGGGCGAGACCTTGAGCTGGGATTTGGAAGCTGAGGGGTTTGGCTAAGTCTGGGAAGGACTGATGTTTACTGGGAGCTGCAGTGTAACAGTCCCCATGCTCCGTGTTGACCTTGAATCGCCATGGCAACCACTACCTTCATTCTCATTTGATAGCCCATGGAACTGAGACCTAGAGGTTCATGATTTGTCCCAGGTGACCTCACTTCTGAAGAAAGGAGACGGGGGGCCCTGGGCAGAAGGTGAGGTGGAGGCTCCAGGCCTAGACCCTGCTAAATCACTGGGTCTGAGGGTAGAGGATGCCTTCCCCTCTGTCTCCTCAAGGGGCATCTGAGTCACTGTCCCCACCCTCTCTCTGCCTCAACCTAAGGGAGATGTGGGGGAAGGCAGGGTGCCCACTTGGGGTGGGGAGGCCAGGGATCCAACCACGCGTTTGCTCATACTTGCTGGTCAACCTTGGGCAGATCTGGGTCTTATCTGGGCCTCAGTCTCCCTATCTGTTCAGAGGAGGAGGGTTGGAGTTGATGGAGTCCCAGGGGCCCCGTGCTCTCTCCCCCTTCCAGCTCTGAGATCTGTGACCTAGGCCTGGGAGAACGAGGAGGGGTCTTCAAGGGTGCTAGGCTGGGGTTGGGGGCAGCCTGCAGGCAAGGGAAGGTAGATGTCAGAGCTCAGCCCTGCCCTGGCATCTTCCCCATCCTCCTGGGCCCTGAGGCATGGTCAAAGCTCCGTGCTATTTTTGCCCTTGGGTTACATGAGAGCTGGTGACTGAGCTTGGGCCTGAGCTCTGGGCATGAGGCGGTAGTGGGAAACCTGACCTCTTCCCCCCCGACCCCCACCCCACCTCACCCCACCCCAGCAGGGTCACAGGGCTGGGAAGACCCCAGCCTTCAGGCCCACAGCACACCTGCTTCTCACCCAGCCCTCAGGCGTGAAACAGCAGGTGCCTGGCATTGATCTGTTTCTTGGCTTCTGCCAGCTTCCTCCTTCTCTCCCGAGTGTCAACCGCCTGGCCCTCAAGGTGGGTTGGGTGCTTCCTCCAGGCTCCCACAGTACCCTCTGTTTCCCCTGTCACAGCTCTGATGTCCTGTATTGTAGCCACTTGGTTACCTGTCTGCATCCCATCAGACAGGAGGGCTGAGAGGGCATGGACTGGCTTTGGGCATCTCCATGTCCCCCAGCACCTGGCCTGAGGCCTGGCACAGGCAAGTACTCCTTCAGTGGGTGGGTTATTAATGGCTCTGATAACAGAATTGGCAGGCTGGTTAAGGTACATGGCTCAGGGTGCTAAGCAGGGAGCTTAGGAGGCTGGAGGCCCCACCAACCGAGATGGGAGCCTGGCAGAGATGGGGAGGAACAGACCGGAGCCAGGAAGTGAGGTGAGTTTTGGACAAGAGGAGGTTTCTACTTCTAGGGGTTCCAGATTCAGACTAGAGTGTAAATGGTAGGCTGAGAGCAGACTGCATGGAGCAAGGGTAAGAGTCCAGGAAGAGGAGCACCCAGGCAGCCATGGGCAGGGCCAGTCTCTTCCTTCCTATCTGGGCCACTTGCAGGCCCAGGGTGGGGCTACGCTCCCAGAGAGGCTGGGAAGAGGGGTGCCAGCTTGCTGAACTTGCTTTCAGCTGTACCCACCTGCATCAGAGAGCAGCCTGACCTGATCCCTGCCTGAGTTCTCAGGCTGGTGGGGAGATGCACTCAGAGGCAGAGACTACAAGGGCAGGAGAAAAGTTCTAGAGCCAAGGTGGGCACAGGTGTGGTCGGGGCCAGTTTTCTTCTTCCTGGGGAGACCAGAGGAGAGAGCATTCTGGGAGTGGGAGGCACGCCTTGCCAGGGCCCGGGTGGCAGCCGGCAGGAGCAGCGTGGGGGATCATGACAGCTACCGTGGCGAGCAGTCACCGCCGGGCACCAGACCCTGAGCTCAGCACCTCGCACACTCCTGTGAGGGCGGTGTTGTTACACACGAGGAGATGAGACCTAGAGTGACTTGTGTGATATCACACAGCTGGTGACAGAGCAAAGATGGGCTAAGCCAGCAGCCATAGGAACAGAGGGTCTAGAGAACGTTTGTCTGTCTGTGGCGGAAGCCTAGGTGTGTTCAGATGCTGAAACAAAATTGCCTTTAGAGAAGGAGAGGTTGAAATGGAGGGTTTGGTGGGGCTAGCCGGGGAGGGGTCATTAAGGAGGCAGGACCATAGGCTGGCATTTGGGGGCCCTGAGTGGGGCGAGTGGCCTGAGGCAGAGGATCACTGCTCTTTCCCTGGGCTGCAGGGAGGGCAGGCAGAGGGCTGGGTCGGGATGCAGAATGGGCACAAGGGGCTGGGGGTGGTGGGGAGGTTAGGACCTTCCTGCCTGGCTACCTCACGGCAGCCACTGGGGCCATGGGAGAGAGAGAGGGGCCTTCTGGAAGGGTCACCTTAGAGGCAGTGAAGTTCACCTAAACACCTTCCAATGATGGGACCTTTAACGTACAAGCCACACGCCGCTTGTAATAGTGCTAAATTTGGAGTGAAGGAGCAGGAAGCATTCCAATTATCTGTTCATTTCTAGAAATGCTTGAGCTGGAGGGACTGTTGCCTAGAGAACAAAGCCAAAACATCAAAATGAAATTGAGAGAGAAATACGGTTTTCCTGTTCTGGCCTATGAGTAAGCACCCCTGTGGCTCTTTGGAAAGCGTGTGTCAGAAAATGCACAGAGGCTCCAAGAGCCCTGGGAGGGGGCCTCCATCGGTTACTCATCTCTCTCCACTAAAGCTAGGAGAAGGCCCCAGAACATCGTCACCAGTGTGCAAATACTGTCATTTGACCCGAGCAGTGTCTGACTTTGATGATGGGCACTGCTTCCTTTGTGAACAGCTGGGTGGTAACATGTATAAGCATAGACTCACACACACACACACACACACAGACACACACACGCACACATTCACACATATGCAAGCTGGTAGGATCCTCTCTTTCCTTGCAAAACTAAAAGCTTTCCTCTTCGTCCTGGATTCATCTCGACAAGCCTTAGTGTTGGTAGCAAAAGATGCTGATGATCAGTTATGAACAGTGAGTGACAGCCAAGTGCAAACAATGACTTTCTTGTTGTCTTCCCGTCATCCCAGGGTCATAAGTGAATGAAGCAATGAATGAACTCGCCACTTGACTCCAATTTATTATTGTAAAACTCTTTTTTTTTTTTTTTGCCAGGAGGTGGCAGAGCTGGGACCTTCTGTTGGCCCGTCTGTTGCTATGGTAGTGGGCACTGCAGTGTGGGGTAGTGGGTGGGTGGGTAAGGACTGAAATCAAGAAAGGTGAATCAGGGTCACTTGGCACAGGGCCTTCCAAGCTGGTTAAGAACCTAGGATATTTTTCTCCGGGGCCTGGGGAGCCCCCGAAGACTTTTTGTTTTTTGTTTTTTTTTTGAGCCACATTTCATGTTTATTGATCGTTTGGCTATCACAAGCAGCTTATTGTTTGAGGCTGCGGAAGGCAGTTTGAAGTGGATGATAACAGGCTTATTTATTTACCTTTTTACATTTAGTGAGTACTTACAAAGTCTTGATAAGTGTCATCTATTTTAATCTTTACAACAACGCTGCGTATGAGGTGTTATCACCCAATTCTGCAGGTGATACGGAGGGTAAGTGCCAGGTCATAGCCGGTCAGGAGCGGACGCAGGTCGCAGGCTAGGTGGTGTGCCTGGATTCTTGACTGTCATGTTACAGAGCAGGAGCCACTAATTCTGCCTGAGGGACTGGGCCAGGCTTCCGGGGTGATGGGCCCCCGAGCCCCTGCCAGGTCGGCCAGTGGGGTGGGGTTCGTCTCCCTCGGGGTGCTGATGGCTGCCGTCCTGCTTGCAGGTGCCCTGTTGCAGGAGGAGAGTCTGGACGCGGTGACCCTGCTGTATGCCACCTCGCTGCCCAGCTTCTGCCTGCTGGCGGGTGCGGCCCTGGTGCTGGAGGCCGGTGTGGCCCCGCCGCCCGCCCCCGCCAGCTCCCAGCTCTGGGCCTGCATCCTGCTCAGCTGCCTGCTGTCCGTGCTCTACAACCTGGCCAGCTTCTCCCTGCTGGCTCTCACCTCCGCCCTCACCGTCCACGTCCTGGGCAACCTCACTGTCGTGGGCAACCTCGTCCTGTCCCGGCTCCTGTTTGGCAGCCACCTCAGTGCCCTCAGCTACGTGGGCATTGCACTCACCCTTTCAGGAATGTTCCTTTACCACAACTGCGAGCTCGTGGCCTCCTGGGCTGCCCGCCGGGGCTTCTGGAGGAGGGGCCGGACTGGCAAAGGTCTTTGAGACCTAGGGGAACACCTGGGCTCCCTGGGACAGCCCCAGCCTGAATCCAACCTTGGCCAGTGGCCATGGGAAAAGCAGAGAGCAGGCAGCCACTGGGGCCATGGGAGAAAGAGAGGGGCCTTCTGGAAGGGCCACCTTGGAGGCTGGAATGGGGATTCCCGGAGAGAACCACCTCCTGTCCCTTGCCTGCCTCTAACCACAGACCTCACTCACCACTGGATGGTGGGTCCAGACCTAGCACAGGCACTGTGCTTCTTGGACTGATTGTTAGGATGAGCATCAACTACTTCTCCAAAAATTGCTGGCCAAACTTTGAAAACCTCACCATGTTCTGATGATGATGATGATGATTCTTGGCGATTGCACAATCCTTCCTCCAGGAAGTGGGGGAGGCAGCTAGGGGGCCCAGGGAAAGGCCTTTTTGTTGCTGGGATCCCCTGGGGATTGGGGTCATCTGTGCCAACTCTAGGCAGCTGCTGTAGCCTCACCCCTGGGCCCCCCAATTTTGGGTCTTCCATCCTCAAATAAAGTATTTTTGCTTGTATACCTGTGTCATTCCTCAGAGTGACAGCCAAGGAGATGTAGGGAGAGCTCTGGGCCCACTGGCTGCTAGCTGCCCCCCCAGAAATGAGGACATCCTCCCTTACCATCATGGCCTGTCTGGGTCCCCTTCTCTAACTGGCCAGGCCACCATTGCTCACATTCTGCATGGTGGCAATGGCTTCCTCCCTGCTCTGCTCTGGCTTTTCTACTCCCCCTTCCACATAGCCCCCGAAGGTTCTTTCTAAAACACACATCTTCTGGGGCTCTATACTGCTCCTGGGACAAAGTCAGAACTAACTGCCCCAGACCACAAGACCATCAGGATCTGGCCCCTGCGGCCTCACCAGGTTCCTGTCTTGCTTCTCTCCTTGGGCTCCACCTTCCATCCTCACCGACTTCTTTCAGGCACCTGGCCCAGGAAGGACAGGCGCAGAGTTTCCTGGCCCTGGCCTCCATCCAGGCTGGCCTTTTGAAGGGGAAGTGGGCCCAGGCTGAGTCACTCACTACCCACCCTGCCCGTGACTCAGAGATGCCGCTGGCCCAGCCCTGTCCCTGTGCAGCCTGGGCATTTCCAGCCTCCACTCTGAGGCTTGGCCAGACAAGACAGATTAGATGTCTTTGGTGGGCAGAGCCTCACCAGTATTCAGGACCCTTTCTCTTTCCAGGGAGTCCCCCTGCCAGAGTAGGAGCCTCCCTGCAGCACCCTCACTGTGGCTCCTGGAACCCCATGGAATGCTTGGCTGAAGGGTGAGCCTACCCCAGCCCCCAAACCCTATCAGATCAGAGCCAGCCCTTGGTGGTTGTGGGGGCAGAGGGCAGGGGTGAATCGGAGCTGTGCTTGACCTTGGGGCTGGCTTGTCACCAGACTCAGGACTCTCCAGCATTGAGGAGATTCCCTCAAGGTCATGTTTAAAGCCCTCCCTATCAGAAACCCGGGTTTGTATCCTGGCCCCCTTTCTCACAGTGTGACCCATTTGGTCTCTCTTGGTGTCACAGTGTCATTGGGAGTGGGCAGTAAGGATTGCTGGAATAACCGGTAGGAAGGGCTTGGTGGTTGATTTCCATCACAGGCCACTGCCCCTCTAGGCTCTCCCTCTTACTAGTTGATTGCTTCAGGCAAGTCGCTCCACCTCTCCAGGCCTCAATCTTTGTACCCAGTCCCTGCAGGGAAGCCTTGTCCTCAGGAGAACAGATGTCACCATCCTTGGGAAGCTCTTTCCTACCCCTACCTCTGCCCTGCTCCATGCAAAGCTGAGTCGAGAGCCACAGCTAAAGGTCACCCCAGCTCCTTGCACTCAGGCTGGGCACTGAGCACATCCCACTGTCAGAACTAGTGTATCACTTCTCTTCCCCACCAGCCTGGGCTCTGGCAAGGGCCAAGACAGCTGTCCTGCCCACCACTGTCTCCGCAGCACCAGCACGGGGCCTGCTATGGACAGAGTAGGTAGAAGAGAATACTAGTCAAGAACAGGGGTCAGACCTGGGTCCAAACCCCAGCTCTGGCGTTGTCTAAGCTGTGTGACTCCAGGCAACGGCCTTCTCCTCCTGTGCCTCTGTGTGTTAAGTGGGGGCAGCAGTAGAACGGAACCCTGGCTAGCTTGGGGAGGGGGCTGCAGTGGGCTAATGTGTGGCAAGTGCTTAGCAATAGTGCCTGAAACCTAATAGGTCCTCAAGAAATGTTAGCAGACTGACTCACAACAGAACTAACAGAATTCCTAGTTCCTCCCCAAGGCTTTTCATACTAGCCACTTCCCTGCCCCCCAGCCTTCCACTGCACGGTGAGCCCCTTGCCCCGCCCCCCACCCTGGGGGCTTGCTCTTAGAGCACAGTGGGAGGGCTGCCCCAGCTCCCACCCCATTGCCCTGCTTTGGAGGAAGCTGGGGATCTGGGTCTGTGCTGGGCATCCTGCCATTGTGGATTCAGAACAAAGCCCCTGCCTTGTCTCAGCCCCAGCTGTGAGGGGGCCCCTCCCAGCCACCCCAGGGGGCCCTTGGATTGTCATTCCAGGGGCCAGAGCAAACAAGGGCTCTTCTTGCTCTCTGCTCTGTTCCCAAATCAGCTCAGGGATGCCAGAAACTCCACCATCGCACTGCCCCAGCTCACTTGCCAGTACTTCCTGGAAAGAACACACTATACAATGGAGAGCCATGGGAGAGGCTTTGAGCAGGCAAGAGCCATGATGTTCAACACACATTTCTTGAGAGTGGCCCTTTAGTTTGGTCTGGATCCTATGTGGAGGGGAAATGGAAGGGGAAATTGACAGGAGGTAGAGAGATCAGGGAAGAGGTATTGTGGTCCAGAGGACAGTGGGGACAGTGTTGTGGGCACAGTGCAGAGTACCATCAGCTGTATAGATTTGGGGTAACAAATTATCCCCAAACATTATGGCTTAAAGCAACACACATGAATTATCTGACAGTTTCTGTGGATCAGGTATTTGGGAGTGGCTTAGTGGAATAGTTCTGGATGTCGCCCAGGGCTGCGGGCTGAAGGCTTGGCCGGGGTGGGAGGGTCCACTTCCAAGATGAGTCATCCACATGGCTGTTGGCAGGAGGCCTCGCTTCCTTGCCACGTGGGCCTCTCCACAGTGTCCTTATGACATGGTAGTTGGCTTCTCTCAAGATGAGTGATAAAGAGAGCAAAAAGCCACAATATCCTTTGTGACCCAATTTCAAAAGTCACACTCATTTCTCTAATATCTTCATTTATTATTTAACTCTAATACTGTCATTTCTCTGATATCTTAGGTCAACCCTATCCAGTATGGGCCCTCCCACCTTGGCTACCCTAAGGACATGAATACCAAGAAGAGGGGATCTTTGAGGTCAGCTCAGGCTGGCTACCACATCAGTGAGTGTTTGTTGAGTGAGAGATTGAGGAGGACACAGCTTGGGGCCACGGGGAATGAGTCCGGGAGTCTCCTGCTCCAGGTGGGATTTTGTTGGCTGCACCTCTGTGTCCCTTCCCGGATACAGTACTATAGGATCCTGCCCACAGTGGGCACTTGGCAAGTGGCAAGTGGAGGCCGCTTTCTTTGCTCCCCACTCACAGACAGGAGAAGGCCTGGGCTCCTTGGTCTGGTATTTGAAGCCCTGGATGCTCTGCCATCTCCAAGCCCACTCCCCGTGATTCTTCCAGCTAGATGAGGCCACCCCTGCTCCCTGTGCCTGATGGAACCTGCCAGTATCTAGTCATCCTTCTGCCCACTCATCATGTGCCCCTCCCTCCTTCTCTAAGCACTTCCAGCATCCCAGCTGGGTAGATTCTGGTGCAGCAGTGCCTGCTGCCTCGACCGGGCATTGCTCTTTGTACGTAAATTTTCTTTGGTGTAAGAACCCTGTCTGTGCATCTTATGCTGGAGCCCAATATCAAACAAGCCAAAGCTGAGGCACCTTAGCTGAATGAGGAAACCCCTTACCCCTGAGACACCTCTGCCAAATTTCCCATGAACCCTGTTTGAAAGTCACAAATCTAGTTCAATCCTTGTCATACGTATGAGGCAACTGAAGCCCAAAGAGGAGGAAGAACCAAGATGATTCGCTTCATCTGTTCAGGCTGCTGTAACAAGATGCCACAGGCTGGGTGGCTTTTAAACAGAAATTTATTTCTCACAGTTCTGGAGGCTGGACGTCTGAGGTCAGGGTCCCAGCACAGTTGGGTGCGGGGCCTCTTCTGGGTCACTTTTTTGTATCCTTACACGGCAGACGGGGCAACTAGCTCTCTGGGGCCTCTTTTATAAGGACATGAATCCCATTCATGATGGGTACACTCTCATGACCTCATGACCCCCCAAAGCCCCTACCTCCGAATACCATCATCTTGGGCATTAGGTTTTCAACATATGAATTTCAAATATTCAGACCATAGCAAAAATCTGATGCAAAGGGGGAACAGCAGGGCTAGGGCTTTATCTGCGAATTTTGGGGCTTCTGCCATTTCCTGCTCCGAACTCTGCTCTAGAGAACAGAGCCAGGGTGTGAAGTTACAGAGGTATGTATGGTCTGGCCCAGGTTCATAGGGAGTGTCTGCCACAGAAGTTGCCAGGCGGGTATCTCCCAGCTCAGGCAGCAAAACATTTTTTTTGTCTTCAGGGGAAAAGCATTACAAATGTTTTGCCACGGGGGAGTCTAGAAACATTTGCGGCAAGAGGCTTTTACAGATGTTGAAAGCTTTCTGCTTTGGGGTGTCTCCTGGCACCTCTGAGAGGTGGGCAGGATGGTGATTTACTCTGGGTCCTCTGAGAAGCAGACACCAAGATGGAAAGAAAAGTGCAAGGGTTTTATGAGGGCAAACGTCTGTGAGAGAAAATGGGAAGGGAGCTGGGAAGGCTAGGAGACCTGTCAGACCATCATGTAAGACTCTGAGTGGAGAGAGGGGAGGAAGGTTGGGTGGACACATTTCTGACCATGCTGCGGTCTAAGGAAGGTTCAGCATGGCCATCAGAGCTCTTGAGGCAAAGAAGGCAACCAGAAGAGCCCCACGTCTCCCAGGAATGGGTCTGCCTTAGTATCCCTGCTGTGCTCAGGGAAGTCTAGCCTCAGCATAAACATGGTGATAGATTTCACACTGCCGTTGGACAGTTTTACTTTCTGTAATTGGAGGTCTGTGGGACACATCCTTAGGGTCACCACAGATGCCACTGTGACTCCCATTTTACGGAATCGGCAGAATTCCAGAAAAATTCCAGGGTCTGCCTGAAGTTACAAGGCAGGATGAAAATCCACCTTTTGACTCTCTTTCAGGCTTCTTAAGTGATACAGATCCTAAATCCAGAGGTGAAGGTGGATGGATTCTTAGGGCATTTGGATGTAACATCCCAGGATACAGGTAAGCAGGGTTGTGTGCTTCAGGGTCAAGAGCTACCTGTCCTTGGGGTCTGTAATGAGATCACCCTTTTAACAGAGGTTGTTCAGGGAAATCCCCAGGGCCACTAGCGTGTCACTATTTCTCTGACAGGGTATTATGAACTTCACAGAAACTTCTTAAACCAAATTTAATTTTTTCATTTATCATAAAGAAAGAAATTCTGGACTTTTAAAGTGGGAAAGTTAAAGGTTCATAAAATCACAGAGACCTGGAATCCCTGCTCCAAGCCAGGATGTTGGGCTGTGAGAATCATTTCATTCTTCCCTATTACAGGATTATGGTAAAGCTCCAATATGACCTACTTTGCCTAGGTTGTTTGAGTAAAGGGCTACCGAGTCTGAAGGAACAGAGTGAACTATTTGGGAAAAGGGGACCCTCTCAAGAGCCCTCAATCTCAGCCTCTTCCACTTAGTATATGAAATCTTGATCCTACCACAACCAATTCAGAAAATTAAAAAGAATAATTTTAAAAAGGAGGATCCAAAATTAGATTTCAACTATGAAAAAAATGCATGAAAGGAAATATACCACTATACCAAAATATTGACTTGGTTATCAAGATAGTCTTGTAGATGGACCATATTTGTTTTCCTTTTTCCACAAACGGGCATGTATCTTTAAAAATAAATTTCTTGGGGTTCCAGTTCTGAGTAAGCTAGAGTAAGCATCATCTGTCCTTCCCCCAAATGCAACTAAAAACGCTGGACCGAATGGAGCAGCTCTCTGAGGACTCGGAAAACGAAATGGTAGCAGGTGGTTTGGGGAAGGGAATCAGAACTTGAAGTATAAACAATCTGGCGGTGAGCTTCCTGTTTTGTTTTTTTGTTCCTGTATCTCCTGGCCTGGTCTCAAAGTGTGGCTCCTGGAACTGTGCACTGGGCATGGAAGAAAAAACTCCAAGAAGCCCTGTTTTCCTGGTCTGAGGAGTAGAAAGGAGGGCCCCTTAAGGACAAAGTAAGGGAAATCTTTTTTTTTTTTTTTTTCCCCTTTTCTCTTCTTTTGCCCTGCCCCCAGGCAAACCTCATGCTCAAGTTAAAACTCAGGGCAGCAGCAAAGTCAATGGCAATGGCAGCTGGGAAATCACCTAAAATTCTGAGGGGAATCCTCTCAGACCAAAAGAACTGTGGCCTGAAAAGAGTGTATGGAGGGAGGGAGTGTGGGGCAGGGGATGGAATTCCTAATGCCTTTTCTCTCTTCATCCTGTCACTTGGCTCCAGAGCAGACCCAGTCGCAGAATGTGTGCACCAGAGCAGGGAGGCCAAAGGCCCTGATTTCCAGCTGGAGGACCTGGGAATGGGTGGCCTTGAACACTCGAAAATGTGGGGGAGATCACAGAGAGGAGGGAGCTGGAGAAATGGATCCTATAAAGTTGCATACAAACTGCTAGGCTCCATGCATGGATCTGACTCTAAACAGTAGTCCAATGACTTTCAGAACTAAACTAGGTAGACCACCCATTTCTGACTGGCCCCTGGGTGGCACAGACTTAGGACAGATCTAAAATACATTGCCAAAGTTTTGAAAATTGAACTGACGTTGGAACTATGGCCCTTTTAAAGACTTTTTTTTTTGAAGATTTTATTTATTTATTCATGAGAGACAGAGATTGAGAGTGAGAGGCAGGCAGAGGGAGAAGCAGGCTCCCCACAGAGAAGGGAGCCTGATTCGGGACTTGATCCCAGGACCCCAGGATTACGACCAGAGCCAAAGGCAGAAGCTTAACCAACTGAGCCACCCAGGTGCCAGGAACCATGGCCCTTTCAAAACACAAAATTCAGCTGTGTAGCTTTTATTTAATTTAAAATTTTTTTTTATTTTTAAAGATTTTATTTATTTGAGAGCGAGCACAAGAGAGCACAAGCAGGGGGAGTGGGAGAGGGAGAAGTAGGCTTCCCGAAGAGCAGGGAGCCTGATGCGGGGCTCGATCCCAGGACCCTGGGATCATGACCTGAGCCGAAGGCAGACGCCCAAAGACTGAGCTACCCAGGTGCCCCTGAGGTTATGGACTTTAAAATCAGGATTATTTGGATTATTGGGCAGGCCTAATCTAATCACATGAATCCTTATAAGCAAGAATTTTCTCTGGCTGGATTCAGAGAGATGCAACAGAAGGAAAAGTCAGAGGTATTCAAAGTGTGAGAGGGACTCAACCCCCTGGATAGCATTTGAAGGAATGTAGGCAGTTTCTAAGAGAAAAGACCAGCCTTCAGCTGATAGTAAGGAAATGGGGTCCTTTGTCCTATAACTACAAGGAACTGAATTCAGTCAACAACCTCAATAAGCTTGGAAGCAGAATCCTCCCCAGAGCCTCCAGTAAAAAAAAAACCAAAAAAAAAAACAAACCGCATGTGATTTCAGTCTTATGAAACATTTGATTTTGGCCTGTGAGAACCTAAGCAAAAGATTCAGTCAAGCCCAACCAGACTTCTGCCCTACAGAAATTGTGAAATATTAATAGGTATTGTTTTTAGCCACTGAGTTTACAGTAATTTGTTATAGCAGCAAAAGAAAACTAATACATTATCCATTGAACATCAGAGGGAAGTGGTTAAGATGTTAATTCTAAATAGATTCTGAAAAGTTAAGTATGTATAATATATTCTCTAGTGTAACCTCTAAAAAAACTATATAAAATTAAAATGGAATACTTTAAAAATATTCAATAATCCAAAAGAAGGCAGGAAAAGGGAAACAAATGGAAAACAGAGGACAAACAGAAAACAAAATGGTAGACCTAAATCCAAATACTGATAATTTTGGTCTAAACACACTAGTTAAAAAACAGATTAGATATGTAAAAAAAGCCCCAACTATATGGTGTCTACAAGAAACCCATTTTCTTTTTTTTTTTAAAGATTTTATTTATTTATTTATTTATTTATTTATTTGAGAGAGAGAAAGAGACAGTGAGAGAGCACACAAGCAGGGTGGAGTGGCAGAGGCAGAGGGAGAAGCAGGCTCAGCAGGGAGCCTGATGTGGGGCTCTATTCCAGGACCCTGGGATCATGACCCGGGCCAAAGACAGACACTTAACCGACTGAGCCACCCAGGGGCCCCAAGAAACCCATTTTCAATCTAATAATATAGTAGGTTCAAAGTAAAAGGATATAAAAAGATATATCATGCAAATACTACTTAAAACAAAGCTAGAGTGGCTATAGTCATATCAGACAAAGTAGACTTCAAAAAATTAAGAAGGGTAAAGAGACATTGCATATTGAAAAAAAGGTCAATTTACCATAAAGACACAACAATCCTAAATATGTATGTACCTAACAACAAAGTTTCAAAATACATGTAACAAAAATTAATAGAATTGAAAGGAGGTGTAGGCAAATCCACAATTTTAGTTAAATACTTCCAACACTCTTCTCTTTGGGACGCCTCGGTGGCTCAGTAGGTTAAGCGTCTGCCTTTGGCTCAGGTCGTGATCCCAGGGTCCTGGGATCGAGTCCCATGTTAGGTTCCATGCTCAGGAGGGAGCCTGCTTCTCCCTCTGCCTGCCGCTCCCCCTGCTTGTGCTCTCTCTCTCTCTGGAAAAAAAAAAAAAATCCAACACTCTTCTCTTAGTAATCAATAGAACAAGTAAACAGAAAATCAGGGTGAGTATAAAAGAATTGAAATCACCATCAATCATCATCAATCAATAAGCTGACATTTATTGACCACTCTATCCAAAATAATGTTTTTTTCCTCAAGTGCACATGAAATGTTCACCAAGATAAGCCACATCCTACATGGTAAAGTAAACATTAACTAATTTAAAAGAAGTAAAATCATACAACTTATGTCCTCTGATCATGATGGAATTAAACAGAAACCAATAACAGAGAAATGGCGGTAAAATTTCCAATACTTAGAAATTAAATTACACACTTCTAAACAATACATGGGTAAAGGAGAACATTTCAAGAGAAATTAGAAAATATTTTGAAGTGAACAAAAATGAAAATGCAGCATATCAAAATTGGTGGGATGCAGGTCTGAAATAAAGTTTCTACCTTATGAAATTAGAAAAGACAAGATAAATTTCAAACAAGCAGAACTGCAGAAATAATAAAGAATAGAAATCAATGAAGTAGGAAAGGGAAGAACAATAGAGAAAATAAAAAACAAGGGAGGTAGTTGTTTAAAAAGATTTTAAATATTGATAAACCTCTAGCTAGACTAACAAAGAAATAAAGAGAGAAGACAAATTATCAGCATGAGGAATGAAAAGGTGATATCTCTGTGGACCCTGCAGATAATAAAGATAATAAGGAATACTATAAATAAGTCTATGTGCATAAATTTGACAACTTGGATGAAATGGAGCTATTCCTGAAAAATCACAAACTACCAAAACTCACCCAAGATGAAATAGATAACTTGAATAGTCCTTTAACTATTAAAAGAATTGAATTCATTGTTAAATTCTTCTGAAAAAGAAGTCTCCAGGTCCTGATGGTTTCACTGGTGAATTCTACCAAACATTTAAAGAAGAAATAACACCAATTCACACATCTCTTTCAGTAAATAGAAGGGGAGAAAATACTTTTCTACTCTTCCCTAACTTCCTTAACTTAATACAGGGCTTCCTTAACTACAAAAAGCCTATAGCTAACATCATAATTAATGGTAAAAGACTGAACACTTTCTAAGATCAGGAATAAAGCAAGAATGTCTATTTTCATCCCTCATATTCATCATCATACTGGAAGTCATAGCCAGTGAAATAAAATAATAAATCAAAGATATTCAGATTGGAAAGGAAGAAATAAAACTATTTTTATTCGCACATGACAAGATCGTCTATATGTAGATTGCCACGGAATCTACAAAAATGCTCTTAGCAAGGTCACAGGATACAAAGTCAACACACAAAAATCAATTGTATTTCTATATAGTACCAACAATGCACAATTGGAAACCAACATTAAAAAAAATTTTTTTTCACAATGCTCTCCCTCAAATGAAATACTTAGGTATTGTAAATACAGTATAATATGTAAGATTTGTATGCTGAAAACCACAAAACACTGATGAAAGACATCAAAGACCTAACTCAATGGGGAGACATACTATATTCATGGATTGGAAGATTCAACAGAGTAGAGATGGCAATTCTTCCCCAAATTGGCCAAAAGATTTAATACACTTTGAATTGAAATCCTAGTAGGAGTTTGTTGATACAGACAAGTTGGTTCTAAAATTTATATGAAAGGCAAAGAAAGTAGAATAACCCAAACAATTTTTTTAAAAAGAAAACTGGAGGACTCACTATCTGACTTTAAAACTTACTACAAAGCTACAGTAATCAAGATAGTGTGGTATTGGTGAAGAGAAAGACGCATATATCACACAGAATAAAGAGTCCAAAACAGACCTACACAAAGGAGCAAAGACAGCTCAATAAAGGACAGTCTTCAACAAATGTAGTTGAAACCATTAGACATCGATATGAAAAAATATGAACCTCAAACTAATCCTCATACCTTATACCAAAGGATCATAAAAATAAGCGAAAAATTTAGACCCTCAAACTTTAACATTGGAGAAAATCTTTGTGATCTGGGGTTAGGCAAAGAGTTCTTAGACATGACACCAAAACAACAGTCCATAAGAGGAAAAACTGGCAAGTAGCACTTCATCAAAATTAAAAACTTTGCTCTGTAAAAGATACTTCTAAGAGAAATGAAAAGACAAGCTAGACTGGGAAAAAATATTTACAAATCCTTATCTGACAAAGGACTTGTATCCAGAATATATGAAGTATTCTCAACACTCAAGAGTGAGAAAACAGCCCACTTTTAAGATGGGCAAAAGAGTTGAATAGACATTTCACCAAAGAGGGTATGCGGAAGGCAATGAAGCACACAAAAAGATGCTCAACATCATCAACCATTAGGAAAATGCAAATTAAAACCACAATGAGC